ATCACCAGCTTACTAGGAGGACCCTGGTCTCTACAAAAAATAATTATTTCAGCTGAAGTATGATTTATACATTTATTTTAATAAAATTTATTGATTACTCTACGTACAGTTATGCACATTGAAAGGATGCAACAAAACCAGTTCTTTTCTACTATGATGATTATGATAACCGATCTCTTTCAGTAAAGTATCTTTAAGCGTATGGCAGCGAGCTATACACTTGTTTTTCCTTGAATCAGCACACCTCCAATAAGACTTATCTTCATTTCTAGCATGGAGTACAAATGGATAATTTTTATACACAAGCATGGCATGGCCTTTTTGGCTACGAGCAAATAGAAGTCCACCTGCTCCAAGAGAAAAAAAATAATAATAATTACATATAAGATAAAAAAAATTGTAACTTTAATAAATATCTTCTCAAATTCTGAATTTCAAAAATGTTAAATGAATACTTAGAAACTCTGCAGTTAACTTGACAATATCACTTAATTAACATAAAAAGTTAACATGCTTTTTCTTTTCACACTTAAATTTTAAATAATATAAATACTTCTGCTGCCAAAATTATTCAAAAAACATCTTCCATTGGAGAACTGGATTTTCTAGAGGCATTTCACATTCATAAAAATCTTTCTGTTCTAGTTAACGATCCTAATTCCAATCCAATTTGCCTTCGGCTTTTAAGAGAAATTATGTTTTAGTTCGCGTTTAATCAATAGATGGCGCCAGTAGCTTAACTCCTGTTCATCCATTCTTATCTTATCTAAACTATACCTTATCTGTTCACTTGCGCTTTAGCAGCTGAATATGATGGTTCGGTAAAACCATCGAAACTAGTCCTGTGAAAATTTTGTAAATTAACGCTGATTTTTGTTGTTTGAATTCTGAATTAGTATTTATTCGGCGTGTTATTGTGTCTTAATTAATATAAATACTTGTCAATGAACATTCGGTCCTGACATACAAATTAATAACATTACTTTATATTATAACAAACAATTTAAAAAAAGAACACAAATCCATCTTCTGCTCTTCCAGCATTTAATTTACCTTTACCTTTTTTTAAAGGTAAACATAACTCTATAAAATACATTTAGTATAAAACCTTAAGAATCCAATAGAAGAATCTCAGCTGGTTACACAGCTGAAAGGTTAAAATCCACAATGGAATTTCCGGAAAGCAGCACACACAGTAATGTCTTATTGCTCTTTCATTCTACTAAAACAAATCTGACTTACTTAATTGTAAATAAACACTTTTCATTGAAATGAAAACAAAAAAATAACAAAGCTCACTATAAACCTTATGTCAAACATGCTTATAGTTCCACGAACAAAAGTCATCATGCAATGTAATGGTATATAATATACTATATTTTTCTTTGATGCAAAATTCCTTTCACCAAAGTAATTGTCTGAATTAAAATATTAATAAAAATAGAGAATATAAGATAATTTTAAAAATTTCTCAAACTTTAATAGATCATTGACTGTTATTATATACCAGCACATCCAAACTAAAAGACACACTGCCTCCAAACATTGTTATATAAAAACTAGGAGAGACACATAAAACTAATTTCTCATAAAATAACTAGAAACTGGTAAAGTGTAATATAAAAATCAGAGTATTATTGAGAATTAACTAAACTGAACTAAAAATTAATTAAATAAATAGTTTACAGATATGTATAATTATAAATACATGACCTTTGATACACACACATTTTATGAATATATATTTACTTACTTCTATAACAACTTATAAAATATTAGCAACAGAACTGCTACTTTGTTTCAAGGTATTAATTAAGTGAAAGCATTCATTCCCTGTCAGAGGAAGAATAAATATTTTGAATACCAATTTAAATTAATAAATATGAACTATTAACTCCTTTTTACTAATTTCATTTATGTAATTTTTTTTTTTTTTTTTTTTTTTTTTTAAGCATTCCTAAGAATGCGTCAAGATTTAGTTATTCATACTGCTCACTATAAACACTGCCATCTTAGTTAGAAACATGATATCTAGAATGGGTGATATACGGATACCAGTTGATATGAAAACTGCTTACTCTATCCATGCTGTTGTACACAAATAATGGACATTTTATTACATATACCATTTCTGTTATACAGCTTTATTGAAATTCAGATATCGGTCTAAACTTCAGCAAATAACATTCATATCTTGACAATATAACCATAACAACATTTTAAAAGGCATACTTTTGAAATAACATACTTTTTACCACAATAAATATCAAATTTTAAAACTTAACTTACAAATACAATGAAAAATGAAGCTTGAGATTTCTTTCTTATTTTGATTTCTTAACTTCGAAAAGATTTTGATTTAATAAATGCAGTAATACCAGGATAGCAAATATAGGCTTATAAGTTGTCTGTATGGTAAAATATATGCTAGTTAGAATTATTACAATAGTTTTATTTAATTAAAACACAGTTACTTCCAATTAAGTGATATGTATAAATAATACAAGAATAAATTCTGTGCTTCATGCACTCACCATTGTAAACTTTAATTTTGCTAACCCTAAATAAACATTTTGTGCAAAATTAATTATTTTTATTTATTTTCTCTTTTGAAAAGCATTCATTTATTATAATTAAATAGGGTTCCTAAAGTTTGCTTTTCTCCCTTGTTTTCTAACAAGATTTATTACATTATTCTTCAGTCATCTTAAAGTTATTGATTTAAGACAAAAAAAAAAAGTGCAGAAATTTATTAACCTGCCTTCTAATTAAATTCATCTATTTGATAACCTTACTGTCTCAGAAAAGGAAAATGAAGTCAGATTTTCAAAATATATTTAATCAAAGTAATAGGCTCAATTTTTCTCTGTAAGACAAGCAATTAAAATTCTTAAAACATAACGATTAAATTCACTGCACTTTGAAGAGTATTAAATTTAACTTTGAAGAGAATTAAATTCACTGCACTTTAATTTCACAGTATAAATAGCAAATTCAAATTATTATACAACAAATTTTGTTTATTCCTGTTTATTTAGATTTGATGAGATCCTAAGCTATTGAGATATGGGGCCCTTTATGAGGGATATGAGTCAATTTTTTTTATATGGGATATGGTACAATTTTTGGGGGTGGCCCCAAGAAAGTGGAGGCCCTAAGCTACAGCTTGGGCAGCCTATATGTAAATCCGGCACTGTCTACAGCAATTAATTAAAGGTAATTAGTTCTCAACACTATTACAAAACATTTTCATGGGCCAATGATTCAAAATTAACCATCACTTCTCACGAGATCAGTTATAACCATTACCTTAATAAGAAAAATATAGATTCATAATGAATATTTCAAACTGTGGTGAGTTTGTAATGGGTAACACTGACTTTACAGGACCCAAAAACTAATCCTACTGTGACAAATGATTTAATTTAATGGAAGTAATATTATGCTCATATCACTCAAACGTTTTCCTAAGATGTCCCAAGATTCATTTTACTACTTTGCTTAAAAGTTTATTTATACTATACCCTATAAATTATTTCACACTTCTATCACCTAATACTGTTATAAACATTTTAATAATATTCTTTCTTATAGTATTATTATAAATAATACTTTTCTTTATCCTTATTTTTAAATAAATAACAAGTCAGCTGCTTGTACATAAGGACCTAATATATATATATATGTAATATTTCTGCAAATAACTTGAGATGCATATGATGAAATAAGAGAGAAGAAAAACTTTCATATTCATTGATTAAACATAATTTTATTTTATGATAAAAGCCAGCCTTGATAAACATAAACATGTTCACACATCATCATCATTATGAGTATGCTATGCAGCCCACAATTTTATATAGCTATTCATATCTTTAAATGGCAGACAAAGAGATATAAGAAGCATATTATTAACACAGTCAGAAAAAAGCAGGGAAAGAAAAAAACATTTTAGCAAAAAGATATTTATAGAATCAGTTTCTTTGTTTAAATTTTGAACTGTGGCTGGATAAAAAATACCTGCAATGCTACTATTAGATAATGGCATTTGCAGAATAATTAATAATATTTTGGATGACACATAGATTCATATACTAATAATTTTAAGACAGGATGGAGATGCAGCGAAATTAAAATGAGGAATTAAAAGCACTTCTGCTAAATTAAAATTAGTAGTTTTATTTCATATTTTATACCTTACATATAAGATATGACAAAATATGACGGCTGCGCTACGAAACGATTGGCAACCTCAAAACTGATTATTCTAAATTTGGTGTTCTCCGCTCTAAGTTCAGCTGTTCTCCCAAATTCGAGATCTTCCCATGTTACATAACAACCTAAAATTAACCAATAGCAGTTTAGCTGTACTTATGCACCTACTTAATATAAATACTCTTTGCAAGCAACTATGTCGTACCTTTCCCTAACTTCTGCAAAGCAAACATCTCTACACTGCTTATGCTTTCCTATCTACGATGCTTATTTCGTACTTTTAAAACCAGTGTACATAAAAATTACCATATTTAACTATGATTGAATAAATGTCTTGTCTACAAAATGATCTGATGTGAATTGTCATGGAATAAAAGTATGTTTCAAAATGACCACGTCTGAAAGTTGTTGGTTTATGCATCCATCTATCTAACTACACAGATTTCAAGCTGCTTGTATTCATCTTCCTATTTTTTATATATTTCTGTTGTATTTAGGAATTCTTCTGGTTTGATAACAATTCGTTGATGTTTTTCTAGATTTCTAGCGGGAACATTTTGAATTTTACTGGTTTTTGAGTTTCATTTCTTTCATGTCTTTGTGAATTAGGCTCTAAAGTTCTTATTATTTTGTATATATCTATATTTATGTAATGGGATAATGAGGACAATTAATAAATTTATATTTCACAAAAACACTTTGAAGGAATAAATTAAATTTATAAAAGATAATAATAAAATAGAAAATGGATTTCTCCATTTAAAAAACGAATTTTTATAATTTTTGTACATAGTAAAAAAAGGAAAACTCTTTATTAATGTAGACTCCACATAACACCATGGAAATAAGTTTCAAGCTTCTTTGCCAAGTTCTTCATAGCTATGGAGGAGAAAAAATATTTTTATTACATCATCACAGAAAAATGTTATTAAAAATTAATGTTAAAAGATCTGATAATAAAATATAAAAACTTTCTTTTTAAATAAGTAACTGTCAAAATTATAAATATAATGAAATACATATGCCATTATAAAAATACTGATTTTTTGAAATTCTGCTTCACAAAAAATTTTCATTAGTCAGAAGATTTTGAGAAATATATTGCCTCAAATATCCAAATATATTTTCTATGTTAAAATAAAATTACCAAAAGTATCATATGTTATTTTCTACAACTGTTCTACATCCACATCAGCTTTTTAATCAGATTTTTTTAACAGTATAATGAATAAAATTTTTAAAATTTTAATATAACTTCAATATGCAATACATTTAAATTGATTATATGATGAAACAATCTTCTGAAATATCAAATTACACATAAATAAAATTAAACAGAATTTATAAAATTCCTAACAATTATTTTAAGCACCTCTGTACTTGAAAAAAATCAACATTATTGTTGCGCAGGGAAAAATACTCAAAAATTTCATAGATAAACTTTTGAATTGAATGCATAAAATAATTTTAAGAGAATGCAGTTAGTGGAAATTCTCTAAATATACGACAAATGCTTATAAATTATAATAATATTTAGGAGGGAAGATAAGAAAAATTTATTTTCTAAATTTACCATTTGCTTGATTTATATTTTTTCAATTGAAATATTTCTAATACTTCCTTGGTATTATTAAGATTAATTTATTCTCTTGTTATTTATCAATATAATTTCTGAAAGCTACACGATCCATATTTTCAGAATGCAATGTGTTCTTGTATAAATTTCTGCTGTTATGGCTTGTATTATAAGAGTATAATATACATAATAACACATGATATGACTACTATTGATACACATCTCTGGTGTTATTGCCACTGTAAATACATTTAATAATTTTTGCTGTTATGGCTTGTATTATAAGAGTATAATATACATAATAACACATGATATGACTACTATTGATACACATCTCTGGTGTTATTGCCACTGTAATTCCATTTAATATATTCCATACCTAGGTCTCTTAGTTTCAACAAGTTTGCTAAATGAGCAATAAAAATACACAGCACAAGAAAGACTACTACATTTATTGAATTAGAAATATATATGCTGTAATTTAGACAAAGTTTCTGTCCGTAAATTTACAGTTATTTCCATGATTAGTTTTCATTTTAACATAATCAAAGTTAACTAAAACCTACTTTTGAATCTGTGAACTGATTTTCTTTGTCTCTTGTATGCAATTCCTGTTTATAATTAGCTTAATATTAAAATGAGTTTGAAAAACATTTGGCTTTTAGTTTTTTGCTCTTAAGTTGGGATTTTTCTTACTTAAGAATGACATAAACTGAATATTTGGATGTCATGGAAGAAAATGAGATATTAATTTTCTTAGAATAATTTCTTTTGTAGTTTGTCGTTAAGTTGTTATGTATTATTTTTGGTTGTGTACAATTATTACATATTATTTTAGTGTGAATAGGGATTTCTTAGTGATTACATTAATTTATTGTGAATAAGGAATTTGTAATGTTCTTCTTTAAGAATTAATGTTTAACATATAGTTTTGTTTAAACATTTTGTTCGATTACGGCAAAGCTCTTTTAAGTTTAGCTGAAGAGTTTGATACAACTAAAGGGGGGTCTTACATCCATTCTCACAAATCCATCACTTTGTGGCCAGCTGCAGTTCCTTCTCCCTTCTTTCGGGAGGGTGGTTGAATCGGGTGTGGATGCAAGAAAGTATTTTCGGCCTTTCTGGAAAGGAGAACTGTGTGATATGTTCATTACCTACTGGTGTCGCAAGTTTAACTTAATTACGATTGAAAACATTGCTGTGGTTACACAGGAAAGATGGGTTTGCCATTTTGAAAGAGAGTTCTGAATTTCTTCGAATTCTAGAGACCATTTACTGCCTCTATTCTAGTTGGCTAGAGGGAGTTCATGTTTTGTTTAAGATTGACTAATTTTTAATTTTAGTGATGTGAGCCAATAGTGAATTTAGAGGCGTTACGTTGTGAGTGTCAACCGAGATTTCTTAAGCCATTGCACGAGAGGCAGGAGAAGATTTTTCAAGATATTTTTGTGCAATTTTTTTTCCTATTGTGTTTTGTCTAAATTAAAAGGAGTGAATTTATTTTTTTTAATGTTAAATGGTCATGCTTATTTAATTTCGATATGTCTTCAAATAAATATTTCTGAAAAGAAATTTTCACAGAAGTAATTGTAATTTCAATATTATACCAAGTAATTTAATATTTACCAAATGTCAGAAAATAAATTTTTCCATGTTCTAAATGTGAATTATTAATTAATGATTTGTAGTATTCATACTCGTAATGAGAGATAAGTGAACAAATGAAAAATAATGAGTAATTTTTTAGGTTATGTTATGTAGGGGTAGTCTGGCCAACTATCTAAAATTATAATGTTTGGAATATTTAATAAATGTGGTTATTTAATTTAATTATTGTATGTTTTATTTGAGTTTTTATCTTGTGGTCTACTGTAGGTCACCCATGTGATCCTTTTGGACAACATAGTTATTTCAATTCGAACCTGGGTAAACTTACTGTGTATTAGAAAATTTAATAATAACTATATGATTGGCTTATTTAATTTATTTGAACTGGTGTTTAGACTTTTTTAGCATGAGATTTATCTTTCTCTGGTGTTTCAAAGAGTTCGGTGTTGTATTTTAAATGTCTAGGGTTTAGCTCTAGAATTGTATTGAAATTTATGTGTTTTCAGGGTGGAAAGCTGATATAGTTTTATCGTAGAGAGAGATAGTATGTTAACGATTTTGTTGCGGAAGGGCACTGCACATTTTGGCTGTGATAAATAATCCTTGATTTAACCAAATCACCAGGGAGGATAGTATCTTTTCATATTTTGATTAAAAGAGAATGTTTAACTTAAAGGTAGTTATGTATTCATCAAAACATTAAAGAGTTAGTATAAGATATTTTTATTATGAGAGTTTTTTTAGCAGTTTTTCCACCTTCCCCCATGGTCAGTTTAAAAGTTTAAAGTAAAATTTAATTTTAACTAACTTTTTTTTTCTACATAGCAAAGGTATGAATCTAAATAATCTGATGCTTCCAGTAGCATACAGGTTCTTTATATATCCACTTATAAAGGGTGAAATTACAAGACATTGCTGTATCTTTATTTTTAATCACAGTAAAATTAGAATAAGGATAAGGTTTTAAGGAATTTTAAAAAATTTGCTAAATTTTTCTAAAGTATGAACAAATTAAATCAAGTATCTTTGGTTCTCAGCAAAGTTTATAACACTGAAAATTGAAATACGAGGGCTATCCAGAAAGTAGATTACGTTTTGGAATAAAAAAATAAACAAAGTATAGGAAACAAATTTTATTATATACAGATGAAAGCCACACTCAAATACTACTTTTCTACATAGTCACCATACAAATTAAGGCATTTATCGTAGCGATGTACGAGCTTGGAAATTCCTTCGTCGAAAAATTCGGCCGCCTGCGCCTTCAACCACTTCGTTACCTCTTCTTGCAGCTGTGCGTCGTCATCAAAACGCTGCATAGCCAGCCACTTCTTCATTGCTGGGAATAGGTGGAAGTCGCTCGGTGCCAGGTCGGGACTGTACGGCGGATGAGGAAAAACTCCCACTTAAAAGATTCAAGAACTTTACGAGTGACATTTGCCGTGTGGGGCCGGGCGTTGTCGTGAATCAACAAGATCTTAGAGCTCAACATTCCTCTGCGCTTGTTTTGAATTGCTCTTCTGAGTTTTTGGAGAGTTTGGCAATACCTTTGAGAGTTTATTGTAGTGCCTCTTTCCAGGAAGTCCACCAAAATTACACCTTTTCTGTCCCAAAAAACAGTCGCCATCATCTTCCTTGCCGACATTGTTTGCATGCATTTCTTGGGTTTTTGGGGAAGAACTTGTGTGCCCCCACTGCATTGATTGCAATTTCGTTTCACAGTTCACATGTTTCACCCATGTTTCGTCACCAGTAACGATGCGATCGAGTAAAGAGTCACCATCCTTATGGTAAGCGTCCAAAAAGTTCAACGCTGCAGCCATTCGCTGATTTTTGTGGTCCTCTGTCAAGATTTTTGGAATCCATCTTGCACAAAACTTGTGGTAACCAAGCTTTTCGCTGATGATTTCGTGCAACAAACTTCGCGAAATTTGTGGAAAACTCAAAGAAAGTTCCGTTATTGTGAAATTTCGATTTTCACGGACTTTAGCATCGACTTTTTCGAGAAGTTCGGCGGTCACTATGCTGGGTCTCCCACTTCGATCTTCGTCGTGAACATTGGTTCGGCCATTTTGAAATCTTATGACCCACTGACGCACTCCACCTTCAGTGATAATGTTGTCCCCATACACTTCACGAAGCTGCCGATAGATTTCTATCGGTTTACAGTTTTTTGCAGTCAGAAACCTTATTACTGAGCGCACCTCGCAGCTCGCGGGATTTTCAATTAACGCAGACATTTCAAACCGTCACAGTATCTGAACGGAGCACAGCACGAACCTCTCACTAGCACGGCTAGATGCAGACTGAGCTGCGCAACGCTCTGACCCCAAGATGGCCGCGCTAGCCCCGCCCCTAGCGGACACAGACGGAAACGTAATCTACTTCCTGGATGGCCCTCGTATATATAAAATTTACTAAATTAAAATATTATAAAATAATTACATATATAAAAATGTTAGTTATGACCCTTGCATTAAAAATTAGTGTTTAATATATTACACACATTGGTATATATCACAGAAGTTTAATGTGTGTATATATATATTACATGTGTGTGCAGATCAGAAATTGAATCAAATTTAATTAATAAATTCTCTAAATGTCAAACAAATGTTTCTAAATTAATTTATTAGGAAGGAGATAAACTATGTTATACAGTCAAAAGTCGTTATTCGGACACCCATAATCCGGAATAATCTATAATCCGGACCTCAAAGCTAAAAACTTTCTGCGCCGCGTTGACACATGTGCATAGGCGTTTACGCCTGAGCGTAAGAACTTTACGACTGCGCATATGCGTGTGCGCAAGCGCAGAATACGTTTTCGCCTGCGCGTTTAATGTATAACGCACGGTATAAGCTAAAATTATCTAATTATTTATTTCAGTTAATGTTGATGATTGCGTTGTTCCTTAATCTTCGAATTGGATGCGGCTTATTATTTTTTGCAGACTATAAGAGCAATTTTATAAAAGTAAACTTGAACTTTCGATTATGTCAAATAGAATTTCCGATGCTGGAGCTCCCAAAGGATCTACAAAACAAAAGTATGTTTCGATGTCCATCAAACAAAAAGTGGAATTGCTGCAAAAAATGGACAAAGACATGAAGAAGGTGACAGAGAGGTTAGTGAAAATGAAAAAATTTCGATTGACAAGTTAGTCGGTATTCTCGGCACAGCAATTACGGGACTTGAACAATGGAACTTTGTAACTGAACAAGAAATTATGCCTGTTTATAGAATTAAAGAGAAAGTATTATCACATAAAACGAAACAACTTACATTGAAAGAAATGTTTAATAAAGTAAACAAATAAATATTAAGCTTTTTTTTTTTTTTTTTTTTTTTTTTGTAAATTTTGATACCCTTTAGATCATAATTATTCTTTATTTCATAAATTACGTTTTCATATTTTTAATTTTAGAATTTCTGCATGTCATCTTACGAGATTTAAACTGATGATCTATAATCCGGAACAATCGATAATCCGGAATCGCCGAAGTCCCGACGAGTCCAGATTAACGACTTTTGAGTGTAATTGTTTTTGGTCCTTCCTTATTATTACAGCCCCTGTTTCTAAAACAACAGCAAAAGCTCTCTTGTTAATAAACAATGCTGCATGGTAACCCATCTCAGCTCTTCACAAGCTATTACCATACAGCTGACAGTCAAAACTGTGCTCACTTACAGTTCACCTTTCATTAGAATTCTAAGTATTGGTGCAATTCCTTAACAAGACAGCTTTTTACACTCTTTAAATAATGAGCCAATAATAACAGGAATCTAGAAAATCAAAAAGCAGACATCGTAATGTATGATTTTTTACATTAAAAGAAAATAATATACTATGAAAAAAATTATAATAAAGACATACAATATTCTAGATTTTAAAGTTTAAATGGAATAAATTTGAAAGATAAAAAGATTAACTTATGAACCAAATAACTATGATGTGTATACATTTGTAAACATTTACATTAAAATTAATGCATTTCAAAATTTAAAAACAAGGTTGATTATGGAAAAGGGTGCCCCTTGGATTGGCACCAAATATCGGCATAAGTACTGTTTTTCTGGTAACCCAAACTCAAGCCAGTTTCCCAAAGTTAACTTTTTTTTTTATTTTTTTCATATGCTAGTGTATTTCTTAAGCTTTATCTGATTGGATCTTCTTAGATTAGTGGCCAAAGTCTACATGATTTTTAGTATGCGAATCATGTACTACAAATCACACATTTTGAATAATATTATAATTTTAATTGTCGTTAATTGATTGTTGATTTTCATTAGCTAGTTGGTTATAAATTATTGTTGTCTCATCACTTCTACAAAGAAATATGTCTGGTAAGATAAATACTCCTTTTTTTTTTTTTTTTTTTTTTTTTTTTTTTTTTTTTTTTTTTTTTCCGTTGTGGAGAATCTCACATACCAGACTGTGTTGGTGGTGATATCTTGGAAGATCTTGCCTGGAACTTCAATTATCTCCAAATGTTGGAAAGCCGATGATCACCTTGATAATCAAGTCTTCAAGCATCTGTCAGTGAACAGTGAGCCACTCTCTGATGTATAAAGACCCCGGAACTGACACTCATACCAACATTATTGAGCGTATGTGGAGCCAAATCAGCGGGAGATTAAATTTCTGATTCTTACTTAGTGGAATTTTTTTGTTGGGGGCATTAGGATTAGGAGGAAGAGGATCCATCTTGGGACTTTGCAAACTGTATGTGCTGCAGTCATCTGCCGTTGATAAGAAAACACAAGCCAAGAACACACAAGGTAAGTACTCCTGATGTTTTTGTAACATAAGCTTTTGGCTTTGTTTCGAGTTACAGTCATCTAAGAAACATTGCTTCTTGGCGTCAAAAAATTCAAAAATATCAAGGGCCACCCGATTGTACACTTTTGTCAAAAACACACAAAATCATTAAAATATGCTAACAAAAATGGATAAAGTCAAGAGTGTGCACAATGCCATTTTTGTGCAATTCTGGGATGTTTTTTCAAGTGAAAATAGGTCGACGTGTACATGGATACCGTGTATGTGCAATTCTTGGAACAGCTTTACTATTGGTTTTTTTGGCGATTTTTTGATTTGGCGACAAACTTCGGTCGCCAAGGTAGACCCGGCTTTGAAAGTCGGAAAAAAAAATAGCGGATTGTCAACAAAATCCCATCTAGACTAAATAACAATCTTAAAAAATATGCTCTTGATTTGAATAAACAGACTCTCTAATTTCCTACAAATTGCAAAAAACAGTCTTTCTCTAATTTTTGTGTTTTTTTTCCTTTGAGAGGGGGGGAGGGTATGGAGTTAATAATATGCAGAGTTGACATATGAAAAAATGCCAAGACTCATGTGATGTAATATTAAAAGCATCAGTTAAAACTATCAAATTTTGGCTTTTTTAAAAAGATTTTAAATGTTGTGCTTTCCTAACACGAAAGTAACTTGAGAAAAACATGCAATTTATCCCTCCTGCCATCAAAGCTCCGATACCAAATTCGTTAAAGTTACGTGGACAAATATGGCGGAATGTTTTTCAGCTCAGTATTTCGGGTTACCATAAATAGCACGGTTATCATAATTTTTCATTTATCGTGCCAAAATTTTCTCGCCAAAAAGGACTAATACTAAAGCTGTGCTTTAGTGTTAGTCCTTTCGGCTATTTTTTATTTGGCGACAAACTTCGGTCGCCAAGGTACACCCGGCTTTGAAGATCGGAAAAAAATGGCGGATTGTCAACAAAACCCGATCAAGACTAAATAACAATCATAAAAAATAAGCTCTTAATCAGAATAAACAGTCTTTCTCTAATTTTCAACATTTCTAGTACTGCTATGGTAAATTCTTGAAACACTACTGTAAATGAATTTACTGCAATTATTATGCTATGAGTAATGAAATTTACCAAATTTTAATATTTTTAATTGCAAAATATAATGTATTAAACATTAATATTTTAAGTAGTTAGTTCATATTTATATTCTATTATATTAGTACTTAGCTAATATTTTTAATTTACAAAAGGTTAATTTTTATGTTTATGAATAATGAAATTTACAAAAGGTTAATAAATGCATTTCAAACTAGTATATGTTACTTTAGTTTCTTAGATTCTGTTATTAAAAGGAAATAAAAAAATATTTCAAAGTGAAGGAAATCAAATTCAATTATAATGGGCAAGTTTTATACCAGTGTTAGAAATATATTTTATGATTAAATTTTGTAAATGTAAAAATATTAAGAAGTGTGTATTTTTTAATCCCTCAATTTGTTACAAGTAATTTATGATTATAATTTAAAAGCTTAAATTAAATTATCATAATGAGTCAATTTTGTACCAATGGTAATAATACAACAATCATCGTAAATGATGATTTCTGTGAAAAATTCGAACAGTCATTGGAATCCAATAGTGGTGGAGTGATAGCCACTGAACAGTGGTAGTTCAGGCTGGCGATATGGGAGTTTTAGTAGTTTTCCGTAGATGTGAATCTGAGCCAGTTTCTCTTAAAAAGTACTTTATGAAAGCATCCTTCTTCTGCTAGCCAGCATATGTATTTATTTTCTATTCATAATTCTCTCTTATTTTCTTATTTCTTAATTCTAAATCTTACTTCTGAAGAGAAGAAGTGTTGCATCTATAGATAAAAAAATATGTTTGCAAAATCCTGTCAGTTTTGGAAAGCATTTAAATAAACTAAATAATTTGTATGTGATGCAAACAAAAATGCATTACACTATTTCATGTACTGAATAATTAATGAGAGAACAAAGTATATTGTAACGTTCCTTTATTTTGTAACCAGAGTTATTTTATGCTTGGGATCTTTACTGTCAATTTCCCCATCCGTTTTCTCACCAAAATCAAACTGAAGTTTTTAGTTTGTAAAACAAATAATGTTTTGCCTTTTGAGGCCACATTAATAGGTTGCTAGATAAGATAAGATTTGTAGTCTTCAGTCTTGCATTATAATTGCTGATAGTTGAATTCCATGCCGATTAAGTTTTTAACCAGCTTTGCATTAAATTGATTTGTGCAGCCTTTGGGCTACAAATTATTTGAATTTAAATTTTACATTTGAACTTAATTGTTATCATAAGTTATCTTGCCACAAGTGGTTGATTGAGTCGTAAGCACAAAGTGTGGCTTCTGTACATCTAAACTTTATAATAGAATAAGGGTATATCTTAATAAGAATATATCTAAACTCAATAATAATTACATTTAAAGACATTGAAATCAGTATCTAAGTGCTTGCCATGTAGTCAAATTCTTATACATAAATTGTACTCTTACTTTTATTATAGAATTTTTATTACAAAAAAATCAGATTTCTGTTAGATTAAATGTTTAAGTAATGCAGAAAATTTGCATAAAATTTAAAATAAAAAGTGGACTGTTATGTCAACATACTATTAATAAAAGTAATAATACTCAGTGAAGGTTATTCATATACAGCTTTTAGAATGTGAGATTTACAAAATTTGAGAACTGTAAATTATAAGCAATATATTCCATAATCTAAGCAACATTATATTTTTTATAGTCAGACAAATTATGAAAATGTAATAAAAGCAATTATGAAATCTGATTTTGGTCCTGATTTGAACCTATGAATTCATGCAATTACACATCCCTATAGTTCTAATATCAGGCAAATAAGTATTTTTAGACCATGGTAATTTTGATCTCCTTAGCAAAGGAAACAATAAGAGTTTACCTCATGCTACTGAAAATGTGTTTTTTTTTTCCTTGGGGGGGGTGCAGTTTATAATAATATGCAGAGTTGACGTATGAAAAAATGTCAAGACTCATGTGATGTAACACCAGTTTTAACTATCAAAAATTTGGCTTTGATGTGTACATGAAAAAATATTTTAAATGTTGTGCTTTCCTAACACAAAAGTAACTTTAAGAAAAACACGCAATTTATCCCTCCTGCCATCAAAACTCTGATACCTATCAAATTCATTAAAGTTATGTGGATAGAAATGGCGGCTGTTTGAAGCTCAGTGTTTAGGGTTACCCAGGTTATCATAATTTTTCATTTATCGCTCCAAAATGTCGCCAAACAAATTTCTCGCCAAAAAGGACTAATACTAAAGCTGTGCCTAAATATGAACTAACTACTTAAAATATTAATGTTTAATACATTATATTTTGCAATTAAAAATATTAACATTTTGTAAATTTTATTACTCATAACATAATAATTGCCATAAATTCATTTACAGTAGTGTTTCAAGAATTTATCATAGAAGTACTAGAAATGTTGAAAATTAGAGAAAGACTGTTTATTCTGATTAAGAGCTTATTTTTTATGATTGTTATTTAGTCTTGATCGGGTTTTATTGACAATCCGCCATTTTTTTCCGATCTTCAAAGCCGGGTGTACCTTGGCGACCGAAGTTTGTCGCCAAATAAAAAATAGCCAAAAGGACCAATACTAAAGCTGTTCCCATTTATGTAAATTAATGTATAAGTGTACTTGCTTAAATTACACTAACCCGATTTACATTCAGCCCATAGGTCACATCACGAGCCCCATACTGTAATTACAAACACAAATATGGATCATTTTCAAATTTCATACAAATATTTTACATAAAAGAGAATTTGGCTCGAGAATTTTACATTAGAGAAAAAAACAAATATAAATACTCATAAACGCAGATTTATAAATATGCATGAAATATTAATTTAATGGAAGACGCAAAGATGAAAATTCCAGATTAGCTAAAAATTATGTACATACATATGAATCTTTGTTTCAAAACTGACACATTTAAAACTGTAAATAGCTAAAAATTATGCACATACATATGAATCTTTGTTTCAAAACTGACACATTTAAAACTGTGAATAAATAAACGTTTCATGGTGCAATGTAGTAATGAAGTCTTTCTGCCCGAGGGTTAGAACCTTAATATGGGTGAAAAAATAAATAAGGATCTACAACGTTAAAGTTGATCTTTATTCACCTTCAAGTAAGGCTTCTATACAGGAAAGCCTCAAGAATAGCCTTACCTTCAAGGTATACATTGATACTACTGTGTTATAGCAGAGCACCTTGAAAGCGGTTTCTCGGTTCAGTTACCTCCGTATTCACTACTTTTTAACTTTTGAGATTTGACCAGTAGGTTAGAGCAAAATCGATATTCTCAAAAAAAAAAAAAAAAAAAAAAAAAAAAAAAAAAATCTTGCGTCCTGCCAAATGTTTACCCGTTCCACATTGTAGACAGAGGATACAACGGAAGAGACTTCCTCGGTGGAAAAAGTCCAACTAGTTGAGCAGAGACGTGTTTTCGAAATTTACTTACCTGTACTCTTGGGATCTAGCATACCGGCATATTCGGAGATCAGTTATTGGAGACCTTTTCTCCACGTCGCGTGACATCCGAAGCCGGTTGCCTCCAGCAGCATGTGGATCTGTGTCCACCTAAACTATACGCAGTGCATTACGCTCACGGGTACCAGCAAGGCCAACTAGATATCTAGTTGAGCGGTACAACGGTATTTAGTATTTAAATATCATTACGATATAACATAGTACGTTATTATTCCTAAAATTCGAAATATTACTTGTAAAAATTAATTTAACTTGACTTTTGTGTTTGATATAAAACGCGGCGTACTACATAAGGGTTCTAGTCTGGACACCGTCGAGATAGAAGAACGGGTCGTTTTTTACGATCTACTCGAGAGAGAGCGAGTCTGGTGTCATCGTCTCGATCATTACAGAGATCGACGCGTCGGAAATTTTTCCGTCAGCTGGACAGCTGCCGTTTAAATTTCTGACTGTCGTTTTAGGGCTGTGTCTACCCGTACGACGTCGGACGTTTAGCTGAAACATGGTAAAAATGCTAAACGTACGACTAGTTGCGCAGAGACACTTTCGTGATTTCTGCGCATTCCGACCAGTCGTAAAGAGATGTTTATTTACATTTGTGTTGATTATCGGAAGGGTGAATGCTTTTTCGTGTAGTGCTAGAATGTCAAGAAAAGAAATATTTTATTTTTATTTCGTTTGATGACTAATTACTATCATTCTTTGATAGATATCTAAAACATTATATAAAATAAAGGACTTTGAATAAATTCTGAATATTATTCTTGTTTTAAATTGCTAATGTTTGATCATTTTATACTGATGCGGAAGTTTACACAAATAATCAAAATTTCTTGAAATTCTTATCAACAGATTTAAATAAATCACGCATGCAAGCAGTAAAATCACATTCTTACGAAACGAAATTGAAAAATCGTCTTAAAACCTTGTGTAATTTTTCTGTCATGCGTAGCTAAATATTTCTATAAAATTGCATACAGAAGCATTTATATACATAAAGAGTGTGTTCAGGAGATTAATTCAGAAATGTATGTGCATATGCTTGTATGTACCGATGTAGGTGTTCATGTAGCATATGTATATGTGTGTACATACGTTTTTGTGTGTGTGTACAGATATACATGCATACATACATTTTTGAGTCTGGTCTCGAAAAATGTCTTGCTGTAAAAGAATGTAAACAAACCACCCAGCTCCTTAAAAAAAAAGTTTAGAAATTTTTAAATTTTTTATCATAATTTTAGTTTCTACAGCAAACTTTTGTGTGTGGGTTTGTTTTAAACTCTTAGAAGAACTCAAATTTTAATATAAAGACGTGAAAATTTTTTACCTTTTGATAGTGTACCTGATGATTTATTAAAAACACAATTGACTCTCTTATATTTAATATTGAAAAGAAGGAGGGGGATATGTACAAAATTATAATAAAGATAATTCTAAGGTATTTTTTATAAATATATGTGACTTCTGAATATAGAAAATAATCGCTTACAAATGACTTATGCAGTATTTAATTCAGAAGTCAAACAACAAAAATCAGCGTTAATTTTTGCGGTTTTGCAGCTGAAGATGATGGTTCTGTAAAACCATCGAAACTAGTCCTGTGAAAATTTTGTAAATTAACGCTGATTTTTGTTGTTTGACTTCTGAATTAGTATTTATTCGGCGTGTTATTGTGTCTTAATTATGCAGTATTTGTTTTATTATCATATCCTGTCCTCATAAGCTCAAAAATAAAACTTTATACAGGAAAGTCATTTTACCTCCAAATATATTTTATGGTATTGAAGTATGATAACAGATGATTATTTTTGTTAGAAAAATTATAATGTTATGAATATTTTCCTGAAGATAATTATACATTATATTCAAGCATTTTATATATTAATATATAATTATTTTTATGTTCTCTTTGATTTTTTTTACAAAGTTTGCATTATTTATCTTTTTTTATAATCTTCTAGTTATTTCATTCAACTTTACTTTGATTTCGATTTCATAATGACAATTTCCAATGTTTAATTTCTACAAATAATATAGTACTCAAATAATAAAGATGATAGTTGTCGGGGACGGTTACTCGAGTTTTACAGGATTTCTCTCTACAGTAATTGATTTTTACTCCAAATTGAATTGACTAAAATGCTTCATGAGAATAAGTTCTTGAGTAGCAACTATTCGCGGAAATATTTGGCCCTGACTAGAATTGCCGGTTTGGCTTTAAACTTATAACTCGAGTAAAGACGAAACACTTTCATATTTACGTATTTTTATCAATTATTGATCATTGAACGGGAGTTGGTTTGTTCCCCTTGAAAAGTCAACTAATTTCCGATCAATGACAATAATTACATGTTTTAATTTTACTTTTACAATTGTAATATTATTCTTCGTGATGATTTAACTCAGTCCCCGTTAAAACATTATTAACATTTTGCTTTCAAATTACTTCAAAACATCTTTCAAAATATAACTTACCAGTATGGATGCACACTTTTAAAATAATTCTACTTTAATTAAACTTAGGAGATAATATAATCAATTAATCAATACTGTTTAGGAAATAAATTATATATTATATATATTATATATTCAAGTAATAGATGACATATTTTATATTCTATTTAAAAATAAATGGCAGCACTATGTCTTGTCATTAACTTTATCAAAAGAACTTATAGGTTTAAAGCACCTAATTTCTAGTATAAGAACTGTACTTCAAATGTCCTTTTCTTTTCCCTTTTTTTTTTTTTTTTTTTTTCTGTAAGAGTTTTGCTTTATACTATTTACAGATGTGACATCTAAAAATGCTTGGCCTTTTTTTATCCAAATATCTAAATATGGAAGTCTGAAATAATGCAATATATTTGTATGTATATAGAGTAAAATATTAGTAAATTCTACATAAGTACATTATTATTCTAAGATAATGTATTTAAAAAATATTCAGTTTAATGCAAATATGTGAATCAATTTATACATATAAATTTTAAGTGTATGACTTCTGTTGGATGTTTTAAGTAAACAATCAAAAAAATTAACCTTTTATCAACTTATCTTGCACATATATATATTATTACTTTTTTTTTTCCTATAAGAATAAACTTAATCTAATATAATAATCTAAAAATAAATAATACACAACATCTATTAAGGCAGACCATTTTTAGTACAGTAACAAATAATACAAGCAATATAATTTAATACTTTCAGTTGTCAGAGAATGAAGTGAGTTTTGTGAAGCTATTTAATGAAAAAAAATCTGAAAACAATTTTTGATGGTTCTAAAATACAAGTTCTAAAAGAATTAAAATATGTACATGAGATAAATGCCGCTCTTTTTGTTTTAACCCCTTTGAATAAATTTTAACCAATTTGATACTTTTTTATACTTCTTTGCAAAACCTTGAAAGTACATGAGAAACTGATTTCAGGACCAACACATTTCAAGAATATTGCTAACTGCAATGAATCAGCACACATGTATGACTTCATCAGAACCATCAGAATGTCTTGTATTACCTTTATTTATTTATTTAAAGTTACTAATGGATTTATATGTAGAAGAGCTGAGATTTCTAATACAGTTACCACACTGGCATTTTTAATGATCTTTTCACTAATGATTTAAAATCTCTCTATATATTTTTTATTATTTTTCAAATGAAAAGTTTTTGTTCATTTGTTTCCAAAATAACAGCTACTTCCTTAGTTCAATTATTATTTTTCTTAACTGGTTTGTCTGGTGAACTCCTGTGATTTTTTTTTTTTTTTTTTTTTTTTTTTTGTGAATACATTAATTCTGTAATTTGTTGTTTTCAGTTTTTAATTTCTCTTTTGAAAAGTTTTCTGCATTTTAACTTAATAGCCTTGAAACTTATGATCAACATTCAAAATCTAACTTCCATTTTAAATTTCAATGTTTACCTGGATTCATAACAAGTGTATTATTTTTAAATTATTCAGACAACTTAAGAGCTCTGTGTCTTACATCTTCATAATGGTAGAAAATTTCATTGTACAGCCTATGTACATTTTAGTTTTGTCATGTCATGCCATTTGTGAAATATTCCTTCTCTCTGCTTAATTTTATTCCATATATAGAGATATTCAGTAAGTTTAAGCATAATAAATTTGTAGAAGATAAATGTCTAAAATTCCATTTTCAGTTTCCTATGTAAACTTTTACATTTGCATTTAGTACAGCAATCAATTACGCATTGAATTCCAATATAAAAATATTTTTTATCACAGCTTTCAGATCATTCCTGAACATCATTCAAATTATCATCAGACTGCAGTATGAAATATACAAATACTTCTTCTGTTTTTGAAAAAAAGAAAGAAATCATTTCATGACAAGGTCTGGTGAACATTGTGCATAGGGTATAAGCTGAAATTATTATTCCTGGAACAGCAATCTGGCAAATTTTAGTCTTGTGTGCTGCAGCGTTTTTATGCAAAGCGGAATTTTACTGCTGAGTTTGCTACACAGTTTTATAGTTAATAGGAATTGTATTGGA